TAAATAAAATTTTTATAAAAATAATTAATTATACATATTATGTTATCAATTTATAATATCATATCATATTATCAATAATTAAATAATTTAATAATAATTTTTTTAAAATAACTTTTAAATTTAAATTATATAATATGAGTTAAGTAAGATAATAAATTTAAAAAAATTACTTTCTACGTGTGCTACCAACATAAAAAAAAGTATCATGTGATATTATCTATAACATTTTTCGTATTTTATTTTATGTTATATAATAATTCCTCTGCGGCATTTTTGCTATAATACGCAAGCTGCTGTGCTGCCGTCTCCTTCGGCTTTTTAGGCGCTCCAACTTTCCTCCGCCGACTGAGCTTTTAACTCCGGAGCGTCTTCGATGGTAGATCCGGGGACGGCTCCGATCTTTCGTTGACTATCCTTTTCTTCTTTCACTTTCGATATCTTTCTGAATCTCCAGCTCCATTTCCCTGTCCGCCGGATCTAGTTTCGGTAGCCGGGGGCTGTATTTTCCGTTCGTCTCTTAAAGTTTAGAGCAAGTTTCCGTTTGCTGAAAAAGAAACATTTGAAGTGTTATTTTCAATTTTTTGAGTTTTTGGAGTGTACGATGGATTCCGAGTGGAAGAGATTCAGGGACTCGCCTAACTCGGAAGAGTTAACTCGGCGATCCTCATTCCCAGACGAGGTGCTGGAACGAGTTCTCTCACTTCTGAATTCTCACAAAGATCGTAGCTCAGTGTCTCTCGTGTGCAAGGACTGGTACAACGCGGAGCGGTGGTCGCGGACGCACGTGTTTATCGGAAACTGTTACTCGGTGTCTCCGGAAATCGTGGCTCGCCGTTTCCCCAACATCCGCAGCGTGACGCTCAAAGGAAAGCCGCGGTTCTCAGACTTCAATTTGGTACCGGAGAACTGGGGAGCCGATATCCATGCGTGGCTCGTAGTGTTCGTCGTTAAGTATCCCTTTCTTGAGGAGCTCAGGCTCAAGAGGATGGTCATTAGTGATGAGAGCCTGGAGTTCCTGTCTGTTTCGTTTCCAAATTTCAAATCGCTCTCGCTTCTGAGCTGTGATGGGTTTAGCACAAATGGGCTCGCAGCCATTGCCACTCACTGCAAGTAAGTTTCTCGTTTGTGTGTTCTTAATTCCATTTACAGTCTGGTTGAATGCATTTCTTGGTAGATCTGAATGTTTGTTCCATTTGATCGAGTGTTCTTGTTTTTATTATTTTTTTCAGGGTGTTGTACTGTCTTTTTCTCTTTCTAAATTTCTCGATTTCTTTATTGGGGTATATCAATATTAATATTATTATTTAGCCATCGTCAGGGGAATAAAAGCGTTGGCTATTAGAAGAATAATGAAAGTAAAAGAAGTGGTTCTTTTAATTTTAATTTTTTTTTATCTTTTTCGTGTTGGCTTTCTCTGATGTGACATTTAACCTGTGATGAGGTGGATGGCATATCATTTATGTCTTACCAACACAAATATCCCATTTACATTGGATAATGAAGTAAATTACTTGAAGGTGTGAACTTGTGAAAAATTCTGATTTTTTTCTACTGGATTGCCAGTGATTTATACACGAATGTTTACAATTCATTGGATTTATGGATTTTTTTTTAAAAAAAAATAGAAGACAAATTTCAAATAAGAATTTCCACTTTGATTAGTTGCATCTTGAGGGTTGTCATGATAAGTCGATTTGGATTTTTGGATAGGAAGATTTAACTTCAATCCTTTTCATCTGATCAAGGATTATGTTTTCAATGTTTTCATGGAGATCTAAAAGGGATAAATCACTCCTTAACTAAAAGAATTAACTTACCCTTTTCATTCCTTGTACTTGAATTGATTCATTCTTGAGCATCAGAGAATCATTACAAAATAATCATTTGAAGAATGATTTGGTAAATATTTACTTGTTCATTTTATTGTAGTAATTAATATCTATGGTTGTGGAGATGGTAAAAGCTCAAGTACATAAAAACTCACTCTTAGTTGTTTAACTGTTTTTGAACTAGCAGTTTTGAAAATCATGTGATGGGTCCTTTTCATTTATGCCGTATTGTGCTTTTACACGTTAGATTTTGCTTGTGAAAGAAACTTCTGAATTATTATTATTATTATTATTATTATTATTTTGCAGGAACTTGACTGAGCTTGATATTCAGGAGAATGGCATTGATGATAGAGGAGGCAGCTGGTTGAGCTGCTTCCCAGAAAGCTTCACTTCATTGGAAGTGCTGAACTTTGCCAACTTGGCAAGTGATGTTAATTTTGATGTACTTGAGAGACTTGTAAGTCGGTGCAAATCATTAAGGGTTTTGAAGGTCAACCAAAGCATATCCTTGGAACAATTACAGAGGCTTCTTGCCCATGCTCCTCAATTGACAGAGCTTGGTACGGGATCATTCTCGCAACAACTCACTTCTCATCAAGATGAAGAGCTCAAAACTGCATTCAGCAATTGCAAGAATATTCATACGCTTTCTGGTCTATGGGATGTCAAGGCCATCTACCTCCCCACTCTTTACCCTGCCTGCGCCAATCTGACTTTCTTGAACTTGAGCTACGCTGCTTTGCAAGGTGGCGAACTTGCTAAGCTTCTTGTTCACTGTCCCCAACTTCGGCGTCTCTGGGTGAGAATCCCTTTTTCTTAGCATTGCTATCTATAGTAGAAGGAATATAATCCATGGTAGAAGTTTTCTGATGAGTTATTTGCTTACACCACTTGCATCCCAGACAAATGGACTTTATTTTTCCCCTAGTAATACCTTTATTATCAGTCAGTGAACTCTGTTTCTGGAGTTCATGCCTCTAACATGGAGGGATGGCTAATACATTAGTAACTTATAGCTCTTTTTTGCCTTTTGGGTAGCTTTAATAAATGCCAGAATGCCTTTTTGCCTTGTGTAATTGTCCCTTTTAATAGTGGAGTTAAATGACACTTCTAAGCCACTGCATGGCATTGATATGACGAAGGCCAACTTTTTATCAATATTTTGGAACTAAGTCAGGTCATTTTTTAGGTTTTAACTCCGCAACCTTTTCTTTCTATAGGTCTTGGATACAGTGGAAGATAAAGGGCTAGAGGCAGTTGGATTGAATTGTCCTTTGCTTGAGGAACTTCGTGTTTTCCCGATTGATCCCTATGGTGAGGAAATTGCCCATGAGGTAACTGAAGCTGGATTTATTGCTGTCTCAAATGGTTGTCGGAGACTCCATTATGTGCTTTACTTCTGTCGGCAAATGACTAATGCTGCTGTAGAAACTGTGGTGCGGAACTGCCCTAATTTTACACACTTCCGCTTATGTATAATGATTCCAGGTCGACCTGATTATACCACAAATGAACCTATGGATGAAGCCTTTGGTGCAGTGGTTAAGACATGCACTAAACTCCAGAGGCTTTCAGTTTCAGGCCTCTTAACTGATTTGACATTTGAGTATATTGGTAAGTATGCAAAAAACTTGGAGACACTTTCTGTGGCTTTTGCTGGCAGCAGTGACTGGGGGATGCAGTGTGTGCTGGAAGGTTGTCCAAAATTAAGGAAGCTTGAGATAAGGGACTGCCCATTTGGGAATAAAGCTCTACTGTCAGGTTTGGAGAAGTATGAGTCTATGAGGTCTCTTTGGATGTCAGCCTGCAATTTGACACTGAATGGCTGTAGGGCTTTGGCGAGGGAGATGCCTAGGTTAAATGTCGAGGTAATGAAGGAGGATGGAAGTGATGAGAGTCACGCCGACAAAGTTTATGTTTATCGGACCGTCGCAGGCCCAAGGAGGGATGCCCCACCTTCTGTGCTTACTCTCTAAAGTTCGGAAAATGATTGGTACTCTCTCTCTCTCTTTCTCTCTCATGCACACGCACTCACTCACTCAATCACACATATATGCACACACACAGGCGAGCATGGCACACAGGCACATCCACACCAACACACCTAACGTCATAAGATCCAAGTGTGTGAAGGTTGGTTCTGTCTGCAATTTGGTGTGTGTCATTATTGAAAGAAGGATGGTTTAGATGGGGGCTTGGGTTTGAGGCCAAAGGGGCTTGATGAGGGTTTGTCTTGTTTGCGTGCAGCTCATTTTTTCTCTCTTTTTTAAAGATATTTTGAAAGTAATATAAAGCAGGCTTGAGAAATTTTTTGCTAACGAGTGGTAAAGTAACTGGTTTGATGGTAATCAAATATTCAAATGTTGTCTGGCACTTTTGGCAATTTGGTTTCATCATATAAAAGTTTATGTAGCCTTAGACATCTCTTGAAAGATGTCTTAGACTGGTGGCATGTTTGACCAAGTCATTATCGTACTTCTCTGTAACATTAACTAACAATAATGTATTGGTTTTCAGCTGCAAAAGGTTTCAAAGGAACACAATTCACTACCTGGAGGCTTTCTATTGGCATGACTTTCACACAGCTAAATTATGGAGGGAGTAATAAAGATATAGATCTGAGGACTGCCAATGTTTTTAGGCAACTAGAGGAGAACAGAGAAGCAAAGAAAATATAAAGAAAGCAAGCCTAAGCATTTACACTCCCCATATTGAGGAAGAATTGAGCTTCATCTGTTTGATTTACCACACCCCGGAAGAGCAGGATGGCAAGACTGCCGATGCAAAAGTGGATGAAGCAGCCATGGCAGTGTGTCACAAATGAACCAAAATCTGTCCCCACAACACACTGCCACCCAGGTCCATATGCCTTGTCGAAATCCTGCATCAGCAAACATCACATCATCAGAAGGGGTGTATTTTAGATCTAGTTTGATGTATTTAATATCCGGCACAAGTTACAGCAATTTCTGGCGTTTAGATATCACCTTCTTTATGAAGCGAGCTATATCTGTAGATTCACTGGCCTCGAAGATGTCAAGAGCCTTTGAAGCCAAGTGAAGTGCATCTTTTTGCATCGTCTGCAGCATGTCTGTTTCGCCAACAACTGCTTTGCCTTCTAGCATGACTGAACAAAGCTTTGATGTCAAAAAAGATGAAAATGCATCAACAAGAGAAGGCAGTGGAGATCGGATGCTACATGAAGGGGGATTATATAGGAATGAATATGAGTATCCGTCCTTTTGGAGATGCATATGCTCATTGCATCGGATCAAGGTAAGCTTTTGATCAACGGCAGAGGGGATAAGAAATCTTGGGTCCACGTTATCTTCAAGATGGAGGAGTTTGTGGTTGTATGGCACTAATTGTTCCGTGAAAAAATGTCTTAAAGGTTGATTATTAGTTGTCTTTTTGCTTATTCTTTTCTATACCCGTCTCTTTATGAGTGAAGACTTTTGTGTAGGCCTGTTCATAGGTGCCTTGGAAGTTCCTCCCCTTGACTGCCCACTTCCAATGTATTTGGAGTCAGAAACGGAAACATTGCTTCTTTTTCCTTCTCTGTTTTTCTTTTGGTTTTTTCAAAGAAGGAATTTTTGTACCTTGGAATAACTCTGGTATTGCTTTTTAAAAACATCTTGCCAGCCAACTAGTTCTTGGTTCAAAACCTAGAGAAAAAGATTAAAATTGTCAATATTGTATTGACATATATATCGATTTTGTTACTGGAACAGTACGTATCATATATCCGAACTTTTTATAAATTTATGGTTATAAATATATATTTTTATAAATTAAATATCAAAGTTAAAAATAATAATAAGAGAATTAATATTTAAAATCATTATATTTCTATAAATTCAAAACAAATTTAAAATCATTATATTTCTATATATATATTTTGTGTCCCTTCACTTTAAGTTAAGAGATTAAAAATGTGTATATTCAGACAAACTTAACAAAGTAAATGACAGAAGGATTAAAAAAATATATTTTTATAATTGGACTAAAAAAATACATGAAAAATTAAAAGATGAAAATTATACAAAACATTAAAGTTAAGGACCACAAATGGAATTTATCCTTTCTAAATTTGAACTAATTTGTATGGCCAATTCAAGAAAAGAACAGCAACAAAATCTGAAACTGCAATCGCGAACCAAGTCCAATTTTTCGCGAACTCACTTAGATTGCAATTTTAAGTCCAAGATCTGGGCATGCAATTCGCGAACCAAGAAAAAGGAGCAACAGCTGCACGTCTGCACCATCGGCGAAATTGGAAAACTACAATATGAAATTGCAGAAATTAAAAAGAAAGAGCAGCGGCGAAACCTGAAACTGCAATCTAAGAGCATGTTTAATTTAACTTCCAAGTTTAAATTTTTTGATACTATTCATATTTTATAAGTTTAAATTTCGCTCTTAAAAACTAATATTTTAAAACTTTTTTTAACTTTAAAAGATCTCATACAGTAAAAATTCAAAAGTTTCAAATCTAAACTTTACATATAAATTCCCTTTTTACTCACTTTTTCCTATATCTAAGAGCAACTTTTAAATTTTCCATCCAATAAAAATTTAAACTTATCACTCATCAACAGTATAAAAAAAAATAAAAGCTCTTACAAACTAACCCAAACATGCTCTAAGTCCAAGATCTGAGTGTGTGATTCGTGAACCAAGAAAAGGGAGTAGCAACTGCACGCCTGCACCACCGACAAGGAATTGAGCTTGAGGTCGAGGATTGGAGGATGGAAAATTGGCAACACTTCAATTTGAAATTGGGCATTTTTTTTAAAAAAAAAAAATTTGGGCATGGTGTGCACCCATTGAAATTTCGATGTACAGGCCAGTACATCGAAATTTCGATCGACACATCAAATTTTGACTGAATCATTTGAATTTTGACCGAAACAAAACTTCCACTTATACCATTTTGGTCAAGTTAAAAAATTGACATGTACCAACTGTACTTATCAATATAAAAAGGCAATGATAACTTTGAAAAGATTCTTACCCTCAAGCCTAATGGTTAAGGTTATTGGTAAATAAACATCACTTTTGTGAGTTGTGTTTTTTAGTTATCGGTTAGTAAGTATCACTTTTTATTAGTTGCAATTTTGAATTTGAGTTGTCGCTTTGAATTTCATAAAATCCTCTTTCTTCATTTCTTATATATTTAAAATATATACTAATTGTTAAGAAATCCAAAAAACCCTCAGACTTTCTCTCTCTCTAGAAGTCTCCTCCTTCTGACTACATCTTCCCCAAGCTTGGTTTTTTTGTTTTTTGGTGCTCGGAAGCCTTTGGCTTCTTGAGCTTTTGAGTGTTGGGAAGCCTTCTGTAACTGCACCAAACCAGAAGTCCTTCTTCAGTCCGCGTCTGCACTCCGGATGGACCTACAAAGCCCCGAGATGGATCTCGGGGTAGACACTCCGATGCTTAAGTCAGCAATAATCGGGGCTACCAATAGAACGAAGACTAGAAGAGCCTAGGGTTGGTTTTTCAATTACCCTTTTGAGGTGACCCTTAAAGGGTATTTATGTGTTCCGATGAAGGACTCACGCGGCATGCTAAGCAAAATATCCGGGATCCGATGTGTATCTCCAGGCAGTTATTTCGGGACCAGGAGATTGAGCCAAGCAAGATATTCGGGATTTGATATGTATCTCCAAGCAGTTATTTCGGAATCGGGAGATTGAGATATATTTAGATGCGAGAATGTCCATCGTAACGACTGTGTAGCTATTTGAGCGGGGAGTTCTGGATTTACTCCTTACTCCGGTTGTAAAGGAATTACTGTCGTACGTCCGAGGTTGGGCACCTCGGACCTGCCCTTACACCTTCCGACTTCTCATGCACGGTGGAGCCGACTTGTTGTGCTTCAGTGTCTGATGACCACCTTGAGTGGTCTATCGGTTTTCTTTTGGGACCCCTCTGGTGGTTCTTTCCATTTCTTTCTTTACTGTTTTCTTGTTTTCTTTGTTTGTTTCCTCAGATCTTGTGGCCAACAAGCCACTATGCAGAAATTAGGGGTGGACGTTGATCTTCTTGCCCAGGTATCTTGGAGATTGAGCTCATCTTCAAGAGTATATTGAAGGATGTCCAGCCCAGCTTCTGAAACGATCGACCAAATGAATTTATAAATATCAAGTTCCTTAGAGATTATTTGTATGATTTTCACTGTCCTTCTTTATATTTGTTCTTTGGTGAACTTGATCTACTCTGATTGTTACCTTTAATTGGATTTTCTTTTGTTTATCATGTGTTCTTATCACTGAGATAAAAATCTTTCATGTAGATGCCGAATAACTGTGTTTTAATTAAACAAGATCTACTGAGTTCAAAAAAATATATATATACTAATTGTTTTCTTTTCTAAAAAAAAGGGAAAAGCCTTAAGAAAGAACTCTCGTTAGGAAAAGAATTGTCAAAGAACATGCGACATGTAAATGAAGAGATCTTTTTTTTTTTTTTTTTTTCTGGTTATGTGCGTGAAAGTTAAAATTATTAATTTGGTTTTTTCCAAAGATCTATTTCATTTTTTATGAAGTTTTCTTTAGTTAGAATATGACGCTATAAACATGTTTTTCGCAAAGATCTTTTATTGTTAAGCTGCTTTTTATTTTATTTTATTTAAGTCCCATGTTTGGAGTAATTTCTTCTCATCTCTTTAATATACACCCACCCATGCCTATAACTAGACTTGATTTTATTGTTAGGTTTTTGAATTTGATAAATTTATTAATTTATTATAATTTTTTACAATTACTTTATTTGAAGGCCCCCTCATTATAAAATCTTGATTGGGCTAAAATTAAGAGTTTGAACTTATTTTCTAGTCAAGTAACTAATTTCCAAAAATACCGGAGAAACTCGGTAAACGTCTTCCTTGAGAAGCTCATCTACAGGAAACATATAAAGCCAGAGTCACAGGTCCCATGTGGGCAACAAAACACAGGGCAAGAGTGGCCCATCTTCTTTTTTGAGTTACTTCGACGATTTCACCAAAAAAAAAAAAGAGAAAAAAAAAGAAGGCAAAAACCCTCATAAGCCCCCAAACTTATCCCAAAATAATATTTAAGCCACTAAACTAAAAACGAAGTAGATAGGCCCTCTAACTCTATTAACAATGCAAATAAACCCTTCTCATTATTCATGTTTTTAAGGTGATATTAAACATGAAATGCCATTTAGCCCTTTTGTTAGAAGAGCTTATTTGCATTGTTAGGGTATGTTTGGTGTGACTAGAGCTTTTAATAGAAATCTTGTTAGAAAAAATCTATTATAAAAGTGTTGTTTTTGAAAAGTTGATATTGTTTGGTAAAATTTTTTATATAAGTACTTATAAAGTGAAAAGTTGTTCAGTAAATTTTTTTTATAAAAGATCTTTTAATATTAAAAAGACTAAAATAAACATTTTTTATTTCTTTATCACTCCGATTTTATTTTTTATATTTTTATATGACTTTAATTTTATAATTAGTTTAAAGTTGATGATTAAAAATTAATTATTCATATTTTAAAACATAAATGTTAGATAAATATTTATATGTTAATATTAAAAAATAAAATATTATTACATTTAAATAAGATAAATAAGACAATTAAAATTAAAACTTAAGTTAAATATTCTTTTTGGTCCTCTACTATTTAAAAAAGTCCTTTTTAATTCTTGTACTAAAAAAAAAAAATCTTTTTTTAATCTTTAAAGTTTAAAAAACTTGATCTTTTTTAAATACTTCTCGCTAAGTTTTAATGTGACATATTAATTAGGAAAAAATTTATATTTTTTCTTTACTTAAATTACATGAAATATTCATATGATAAAAGTTAATAACATGATTAAATTTTTTATTAATATAACCTTAAAATCATTTAATTATATAATTATCAATATAAACATGGGCTTTTTTTTTTTTTTTTTTGCCTTTGGGTTTATTGTGAACCTAGGCACGAGGTTCGTCATGAAAGCAAGCATGGGTTTTGTCTTGGAACCCAGTTCCTAGGTTCGTCTCGGAACCCAAGCGTGGGGTTCATCGTGAACCTAGGCGTGGGGTTCGTTGCGAACCCAGGCATGGGGTTCATCGTGAACCCAACTCCTAGGTTCATCTCAGAACTCAAGCGCAAGGTTCGCCAAGAACCCAGCTCCTGGGTTCGTCTTCAAACTAAAGATGAGGGATTTTCAATTTAGGGAGAAAGAAGACGGGGAAGAATGTGGTAAGGATTTTCAGTTTGTTTCTCTGATTGGATATGGAAGAAACAGATGTGCCTAGACTGCTTGGTAATGGTGGGTGATGTTATAAATTGGAACCTATATATAGTAGTTTTTTTGTAAATAGAAAGAAGTGTGAGGATCAAATAAGGAGAATGAGTAAATTTCATTAAAATGAGAAGTAAAAGTTCCCGTAGAAGCATGAATTTTGTGCTTCTAAAAATTGCATTAGAATGGGAAAAGAATAGCTTGTGAGAAGGACTTGTATTTTTCACAAGCTGTGGTGTTTGGTGCAACTGGAGTTTTTAGGGCCGAAAAGCACTTCCTACCAACTACGTCGAACATGCACTTAATGGAGTTGGAGGGCTTATCTATGTTGTTTTTAGT